AGTTCATGCTGTTTGTGTTCTCAAGTTCATGCTGTTTGTGTTCTCAAGTTCATGCTGTTTGTGTTCTAATGTTCATGCTGTTTGTGTTCTTATGGTAATGCTGTGCCTGTTCTTACGTTCATGCTGTGTGGTCTTATGTTCATGATGTGTGTTCTTATGTTTATGCTGTGTGGTCTTTTGTTCATGCTGTGTGTGTTCTTACGTCATGCTGCGTGGTCTTATGTTCATGCTGTGTGTGTTCTTATGGTAATGCTGTGCCTGTTCTTATCGTCATGCTGTGTGGTCTTATGTTCATGCTGTTTGTGTTCTTATGGTAACGCTGTGCCTGTTCTTACGTTCATGCTGTGTGGTCTTATGTTCATGCTGTGTGTGGTCTTATGTTCATGCTGTGTGGTCTTATGTTCATCCTGTTTGTGTTCTTATGGTAATGCTGTGCCTGTTCTTACGTTCATGCTGTGTGGTCTTATGTTCATGATGTGTGTTCTTATGTTTATGCTGTGTGGTCTTTTGTTCATGCTGTGTGTGTTCTTACGTCATGCTGTGTGGTCTTATGTTCATGCTGTGTGTGTTCTTACGTCATGCTGTGTGGTCTTATGTTCATGCTGTGTGTGTTCTTACGTCATGCTGTGTGTGTTCTTACGTCATGCTGTGTGTGTTCTTATGTTCATGCTGTTTGTGTTGTTATGTTCATGCTATGTGGTCTTATGTTCATGCTGTGTGTGTTCTTACCTTCATGCTGTGTGTGTTCTTACGTTATGCTGTGTGTTGTTATGTTCATGCTGTGTGTTCTTATGGTAATGCTGTGTGTGTTGTTATGTTCGTACTGTGTGTGTTCTTACGCGCATTCTGTGTGTGTTCTTATGTTTATGCTGTGTGTGTTCTTATGTTCATGCTGTGTGTGTTCTTATGTTCATGCTGTTTGTGTTCTTATGTTCGTGCTGTGTGTTCTAATGGTAATGCTGTGTGTGTTATTATGTTCATGCTTTGTGTGTTCTTATGTGCATGCTGTTTGTGTTCTTACGTTCATACTGTGTGTGTTCTTATGTTCATGCTGTGTGTTCTTACGTTCATGCTGTGTGTGTGTTCCTGCGTTTGTGGTGTGTATATATTCCGTCGTTCGTGGTGTTTTTGTGTTACTTACTGAGTTCATGCTGTGTGTGTGTTCCTAAGTTCATGCTGTGCGTGTATATTCCAACTTTCGTGCTGTGTATGTATGTGTGTTCCCACGAACGTGCTGTGTATGTTCCTACGTTCGCGCTGTGTGTGTTCCTGCGTTTGTAATGTGTGTGTATTCCTACGTTCGGGCTGTATATGTTCCAACGTTCGTCTTGTGTATGTTCCAACGTTCGTACTGTGTGTGTTCCTACGTTTATGGTGAGTGTGTGCGTGTTCTAACGTTTGTGGTCTGTGTTTGCGTGCGTGCGTGCGTGCGTGCGTATATGTGTGTATGTATATATGCGCGCGTAAGTGCGCGTAGGCACGCGCGCGTGCGTCTACGCGAGCGGGCGTGTGTGTATGCGTGCGTCCATGTCTCTTCGTGCGTGCGCGCATGTCTCAGCATGTGTGTGTGCGTGTATGCGTGCGTGCCTGCGTGTGTGTATGCGTGCGTGCATGTCTCTGCGTGCGTGCGTGCATGTCTCAGCATGTGTGCGTGCATGTATGCGTGCGTGCGTGTGTGTATGCGTGCATGTATGTCTTAGTATGTGTGAATGCGTGCGTGCATGTCTCAGCATGTGTGCGTGCGTGTATGCATGCGCGCGCGTGTGTGTATTCGTGCGTGTATTTCTGAGCATGTGTGCGTGCGTGTATGCGTGCGTGTATTTCTCAGCATGTGTGCGTGCGTGTATGCGTGCGTGTGTGCGTATGCGTGCGTGTATGTTTTAGCGTGTGTGAATACGTGTGTGCATATCTCTGCGTGCGTGCTTGTATGTCCCTGGCGTCTCTCTCATGCGTGTATGTATTTCGTCATCGTTGCAGTCGACATATCCACGACCGGGACCCTTCGCGCTGCACCACCTACACCCGCCTTGCCGACCCCGTCGCCGTCGCCATGCTGTCGGCACAGCCGCCGCCGACGTCGCGCGTCGATGACAGCTTCACGAACGGTCGCCTCAACAACATCGCCGGCCCCCTGAGGGCGCCACTACCGCCGACGACGACGACCGCTACCGCCGCCGACGAACCGACGAAGAAAACGAAGAAGAAAAATGGCGCCGACGTCGCAGCGCCGCGAGCGTACTCGCTCTCGAGTGCCTTATCGCAGACGATCTTCTTCGCCGGCCGACGTCGCGTGCCGCACCACCGACGCGTCGCCAACAAGAACGGTTCGCTGAACGTCGATCACTCGCGGAAAGATTTCGCCGCCAACCGTCGCTACCTGTCCGACCTCTTTACGACGATGGTCGAGATGCAATGGCGCTGGACAATACTCGTCTTTGCGCTCGGCTTTCTCGTCAGCTGGATCTTCTTCGCCGTCGTCTACTACGTCGCCGCGTACGCGCACGGCGACTTCACGAGGGAAAACCTCGCGAAAACTCTCAACGGCACGTGGACTCCCTGCATCGTCGCGCATTTCTCATTCACGGAGACGTTTCTGTTCTCGCTCGAGACGCAGCACACGATCGGTTACGGCTCGAGATCGATCACCGAGGAGTGCCCCCTCGCCATCCTCAGCCTCATCTGCCAGTCGATCTTCGGCGTGCTGATTCAATCGCTGGTCGTCGGCATGGTGTTCGCGAAGGCGACGCGGCCGAAGAAGCGCGCGCAGACGCTGATGTTCAGCAAGACGGTCGTCGTCAACATGCGCGACGGTCGTCTATGCATCGAATTCCGCGTCGGCGACGTCCGCCGCTCGCAGCTGATCGACGTGCACATGCATGCCGTCGTCGTCATGCGTCACACGTCCCGCGAGGGGGAGCTGAAGCCGCTCTACCGACACAAGGTCAAGCTGAGCGTCGACGCTTGCAGCGACGAAGTTTTCATGCTGTGGCCCGTCGAGGTGACGCATCGAGTCGACGCCGACAGTCCGTTCTACTCGATGACGCGCGACGACTTCGCGCGACGCAAGTTCGAGATGATCGTCTCGCTAGGTGGCGTCATCGCGTCGACGGGGCAGACGACGCAGGGCCGCACGTCGTACCTGAACGGCGAGGTGCGCTGGGGCGAGACGTTCTCGCCGCTAGTGCAGTACGACGATGAGCGTCGGCTGTACAAGGTCGACTTCGCGCGCTTCGACGACACGTATCCGACACCGATGACCGGTCTCAGCGCGAAGCAGTACAGCGAGCGACGCGCCGCGGAAGGCGGCGAGCCCGAGGAAGATGCGAAACACGGCGAGCTGAGGAGGCACTCGCACGCCGCCTGCACGGGCGTCGAACTGCTGCGGCTTACACCCGGAGCGGACCCCCCGCTGAGCGAGGATGAGGAAGGCGGGCAGCGGGAGGGGGAGACGGAGGAGGCGGACGAGGAGGAGGACAGGGACCAGGAGGAGAGGGAAGCGTATAGGCGTTCGCTGGCTTCGTATGGGTCGTCAAATAGCTACCATAGCAGCATGGATTGCTGTGTGGTCTTTTGTTCATGCTGTGTGTGTTCTTACGTCATGCTGTGTGGTCTTATGTTCATGCTGTGTGTGTTCTTACGTCATGCTGTGTGTGTTCTTACGTCATGCTGTGTGTGTTCTTATGTTCATGCTGTTTGTGTTGTTATGTTCATGCTGTGTGGTCTTATGTTCATGCTGTGTGTGTTCTTATGTTTATGCTGTGTGTGTTCTAATGTTCATGCTGTTTGTGTTCTTATGGTAATGCTGTGCCTGTTCTTACGTTCATGCTGTATGGTCTTATGTTCATGATGTGTGTTCTTATATTTATGCTGTGTGTGTTCTTATGTTCATGCTGTGTGTGTTCTTATGTTTATGCTGTGTGTGTTCTTACGTTATGCTGTGTGTTCTTATGTTCATGCTGTGTGTGTTCTTATGTTCATGCTGTGTGTTCTTATGTTCGTGCTGTGTGTTCTAATGGTAATGCTGTGTGTGTTGTTATGTTCGTACTGTGTGTGTTCTTACGCGCATGCTGTGTGTGTTTTTATGTTTATGCTGTGTGTGTTCTTATGTTTATGCTGTGTGTGTTCTTAGGTTCATGCTGTTTGTGTTCTTACGTTCATACTGTGTTAGTTCTTATGTTCGTGCTGTGTGTTCTAATGGTAATGCTGTGTGTGTGTTCTTATGTTCATGCTTTGTGTGTTCTTATGTGCATGCTGTTTGTGTTCTTACGTTTATACTGTGTGTGTTCTTATGTTCATGCTGTGTGTTCTTACGTTCATGCTGTGTGTGTGTTCCTGCGTTTGTGTTGTGTATATGTTCCGTCGTTCGTGGTGTTTTTGTGTTACTTACTGAGTTCATGCTGTGTGTGTGTGTGTTCCTAAGTTCATGCTGTGCGTGTATATTCCAACTTTCGTGCTGTGTATGTATGTGTGTTCCCACGAACGTGCTGTGTATGTTCCTACGTTCGCGCTGTGTGTGTTCCTGCGTTTGTAATGTGTGTGTATTCCTACGTTCGGGCTGTATATGTTCCAACGTTCGTCTTGTGTATGTTCCAACGTTCGTACTGTGTGTGTTCCTACGTTTATGGTGAGTGTGTGCGTGTTCTAACGTTTGTGGTCTGTGTGTGCGTGCGTGCGTGCGTGCGTGCGTGCGTGCGTGCGTATATGTGTGTATGTATGTGCGCGTAAGTGCGCGTAGGCACGCGCGCGTGCGTCTACGCGAGCGGGCGTGTGTGTATGCGTGCGTGCATGTCTCTGCGTGCGTGCGTGCATGTCTCT